CATCCCTGCAATTTGCATCCTCTTTACCAGTTCTAAAATTACAAACACTGCCCTTGCAGCTGCTTTGGATGGTTATTGTTTCATGGGAAGTTTTTTGGTGATTTTTTTTTTTAAATATCTGAATGGGAATGGAAGTTTCTGTCTGTTTTTAAAAGGAATCAAAGGTTTGATTGCAGGCTGAGCGTGGAGCTTTTCACTTGGGACATGAGGATACCTGGTGTGGTGACACCAAGTGAGGGTGGCTGACAGAAGTTTTGTGGTGTTTGCTGGGGTGTGCCTCTCTTTTCCCTCACTGTATCTAAGATAAAAAGCCCCATTGGATGGGATAATTGTGTTGGTTCTAACTTCAGGCAGTGGGAAGGAGACATGGGAATGTTGGGGATGCCTCAATGTGGGCCGACTGCTTTGGATGCAGTTGGGAAGCAGAGGATGGAGAGCAAACTGTGCTGGTGGACAAGAGCAGAACCCCCTTGTTGGAGAGGAGGAAAACACCTGAAAACTGCATGGGGAAAAGACCCAATTCTGACTGAGATGTGCCTAAAACTGTTTGAAGACCTACTCTCATGTGAGAAGGACTTATGTCAGGAGAAGATCCTTTCAGACAGTTCTCCCAAGTGAAGGGGAGGGGTTACTTTAACAAGATTTCAATCTCCAAAGCACCTTTTCAGTTTGGCTCAAAATATCACTCAAAGCAGCACGTGAGAGTTGTAAGCATTAATGCATTCATGCCACTTTGAGTAATGACCTAATCAGAACCCAGATCTTAATATGCTTTTTGGCTCCTCTTTATGAAACTGAATTATTTCAGTTGTTTACAGCTGGGTGTGCTTTTTCGTTTTTCATGGCTTGGTACTCTGTCTTGCCTTCCTAGCAGTTTGTTTACAGGTATTAGTCCTTTTAATGTCAGTTGGCAGAGATTTACCTTTTCATTTGAGGTCTGACAGCCAACACACCTTTGAAGTCCTGAAAGAATTATTTGCCTTGGGAATTTTTCGTGCTGTAACCTATTTATATTTTTTTAAGTCTGGTTTTTATCATTAGCTGAATTCACAGCAGTCATCTTTATAATTTAATTAATAAAGGTTTCTTAGCCATGCTTGTGGGCATTTAGGGCATTGTGCAATAGTTCAATAAAAATGTTACAAAACACAATAATCACAGCATATAAATAGAAAGAGGAGCAGTCTGTGAAGATCTGAACGTCAGAGCCTGAAGGTATTTAGGAACTGGAGCTTTATTCAAGCTCACCTCTCACTGATTTAAAAACAAAAACTCAACCAACTAACCAAAGAAAAATAAACCCAAAGAAACTCACCACCAAACCACGAAAAACTCCAACCCTGAACACAAAGCAAAAAAATAATGAAAATATTAACAACAAAATTCCAGAAGGTTGTGCTTTAAAGCGAAAGTCCAGAAAATTGGGGAAACTTTATTTTTATTAATTCAACCTTGATTATACCAAAGAAGCAGTTTTTAACTTAGAGAACTGCATTCTTTGGATCAACTTAAGCATGGAATTAAGTTGGCCACCCACCTGTGGGGTACCTGTTAATCAGGATGGACATTGTGGTTAGATGAGAATATGAAAATACACAGGCAGTGGGAACTAAATAGTCAAAACCATATCATCAATTTGAACTTAAAACTATTGCCTTTTTGTTGCTTGATATTCAAGCACAGTCCACGAAACCTCTGCAGAGTCTCCAGCTCTTTAAACCTGGAAACTTTTGGAGGATGTTGTGTTATACCCACTCCACTCTTAAAGCTGCTTTCTACTGAGACCCTGAGCTATTTTATACAGCTGAAAAACATCTGTGTTAGAGAGAAGAGGAAAGGATCTCCAGGGAAATTACCAATTTCACCTCTGTCTTCTCCAGTGGCTGGTGATGGCTGGGAACTACCACGTGGTGGTTGAGGAAGGAGCATCTGCTCATATTAGGTTTGTAATATTGGTGCTTTTGTGGCACTTTCATGTAGCAGCTTGTGCTGGGATTCAGATCTAAGGTAGAATTTTACACAGTGGTGGTTGCCTGTAGGAAAGATAAGTTCACCTCTCAGCTCCCACGTGTGTGGCTCAGCAATCCCAAAGAGCAATTAGCTATGGTGAGCATTAATATCTACTTCATAGGTAAATGGTATGGATGCACACGTGCCCATTTTGGTCTCATTTTTCTCAGTGATAGAAGAAATTTTCCACATGCTAATGCTTTTACTACAGCCTTCAGATTTTATGTCATCACCTGATGGTAAAGACCAGTTGACGAGATTTGGTTTTTTTTTTGATTAACATTCATCAATGAATTCAGCTGAATAGTACTTTGACTGTTGGTAGTACTTTGACTGTTGTTTATTTGCTCTAAAAAGGTATGTTTTCCATTTAAATGGGCAGGGGTTCAAGAGCTGTTGCAAAATTGTGTTACACAATGCAGGAATTCCTAATACATAAGCAATAGGCAGGCGTGGTGAGCTCCTGTGAGCTTTTTGGGTCAGTGTGCCATGAATCAGTATTTAGTATCTAATTTTTTCAGAGTATGAAATTTTGAACTTTTTTTTCACTCTGCAGTTTAGTTTTGGGACTTCATGAGGAGGTGGGTTATGCACAAAATGCTGTTGTCTCTGAAATCCTGGTGTTTGTAGCCTCTTATTCCAAGTGAAGGCAGCCCTGAGGTGAATTATTTGTAGTCTCACCATGTACAGCCTGGGCAACCTTTCTCTTCTTGAATAGCTAAATGCTAAAAAGATTGAAGGCATAAAAAAAAAAAAGCTGTGTGTTTCCTGTGCAGTTCCCTCATCTATGGAACTCTTTTTTTCCCAAGGGCAGGATGTGACCTCTGGATTGTAGCTGAGATGAAACCACTTTATAAGCAGTGATCAAAAAGCATATTGATGGATACAGTAATGCCCTGTGGTGTTTTATCCCAAATTCATGTTAATCCCATCTGATTATCTGTCAAAGCACCTATTTATTGTGAGTGAATAATTCAAAACTGCAGTCCTCATTCTAGAAGTTTTCCAAAACACCCCCATTATAGTTGTCAGCTTTATAGCCGTGGTGGGACTTGTTTGATGCTGAATATTTCTAATATACAACATGAATCCTTTGGTAAATTGATGTTTGTCTATCAGCAAGCCCTTAAGCCTCTTCAGGGTAAAGTCCAAGGGCAGTTTATGTGTAAATCAGAGAAAGCACTGAATACTCTTGAGGAAGAGAGTAGGTGAGAGCACAAGTTTCCTGATCGATGTTCCTGCTTCATAAAGCAGATAAACATCTCCAGACAGTGATCCCAAACTGCACAGTGGATTATGTGGTTACTGCTGCGGCTGCTGCTCATGACTGACTGCATTTAAAAGCCCTTGAGATACTTCACAGGGTATAAATAGGAAAAAAACTGTTCTTAAGTGATCAGATAGTGTTTGGGTTGAGCATCCACCCCTCTCATGAGGGCAGTTTGTGCTGGCTGGCATTAGAACACGTTCACCCCTGAATCAAACCAGTGTCTGGATAGTACTAAAAGCAGAGAGGTTTTGTTCCCAAATCATTATTGTCTCCAGTATATACTTGAAAATTTGCATCGTTTTCCACTCTGGTTTTTCTGATAATGAAGGGCACTCAGGGGTTTGGTGTTGGGATGATTTTATAGGATAGTCCTGTCTCCTACAATTCTGCAAATAAAACGTCCTGTTACACCACCAAAGGCACTTACAGCACCCACAAGCTGCTTATTGCTTAATCTCTGGACTGATTTAGAAGCCTAATGGCAAGGATGGATTGGAGCAGCACAACACATTAATACTCATCTGCAAGTCAGTTAGAGGTTTGGCTTGTGCCTGTATAACATGAGATGGAGGCATCAGATAAAAAAGTGAAAACAAAGGGGGTTTCTTGCCTCTAAAGAAACACAAAATAACTCCCTGGGGTCTTCCCAATTCCTTAGTTGCTTGCAATTTTAAAAAGGAAAGTTTTGCCCCCAAACTGCTTGAGAAGGAGGAGCTGTGCCAGAATTGTGAGTTTTTCCCAGAGACCTTTAGATGTCTGATGGTGCAGACAGGTTTTCTGTTGTCCACAATGGGAGTTTGGTGTCCAGTTGCTTTTGAAAATCCCACTGACCCCTCCTAAATACTCGGTGACCATGAGCTTTTGTTACAGCACTGCCCAGGAATGCAGAGCTTTGCGGTCCCATTGTCCTCGTGTGTTTTCATATCTATTTTATAGTCCTGGGGTGGCTCAGTAACTCCAAAGCACATGGGATCCACTCCCTATGGAGCTGATGTACCTCAGGTGGTCTCAGTGGAAAGGATACCTTGGGTATGGTTGTGTGGAGCACGTGTAAGGTGCACCCATGTGTAGGTGCCAGGCTGAGGGTGGTGGCTCAGGCTCAGTGGGGACACTGGTGGGAAAGGAAGCCCAAAACTTGTACCCAAGTTAAACTTTCCCAGCAGCTGCTGAGGGCTTGCACCAGGGTCAGGACCTCTGTGTCCTCAGCATTTTACAAATGCAGCAGCATGAAACTTCAAAACCTCCAAGAAGGCGTATTTTGGCAGAGGAACAGAGCTCGTTTGTTTAATCTGAGAAGACCATACAAGCGAAATGGACCATCCAGAAAAGAGGCAAGAGCAGCAACGGAGGCATCTGAGTACAAAATCCCTTTGACAAGGGAAAAGAGGGCAGTGCAGACCTGGACTAAACCCTGTGCTCCTCCAGTGCCTCGTCCCTGGGCACCACGGGGGATGAACCGAGCTCTGTGACTGTGGCTCTCCTGCCCCACGGCCCAGTGATCCAGACAAGGAGATTTCACAGATCCTTTGTCCTAAGGATAAAGCACACTGCCTCTGTGCAAAGAGGCAGCAAGGAAATCTGGGTCCCAGGGTCATGCTGCAGATGACTTTTAAGGAAGGGAAAGATATCCACTCGGAGCTTTTTTTAATTCAGGTGTTTTGCAATGACCCTCCTCCGGTCACTTGAAGAACTCATGACATGTTTTCTGTTTCTATTTCAGGCCAAGAATACCCTAACAGCCTGAGGCACAAATACAACTTTATTGCAGATGTGGTGGAGAAGATAGCTCCTGCTGTGGTTCACATTGAATTGTTTCGCAAGTAAACAAGATGCCCACTTTTGATTTTATTTTTATTTTTTTTTGGTATTCTTGAAAACAGCTGCCAGCCTGCCAGAAATGTTGATTGATGCTGTGTAATAGCAAAGAGGCTTTTGAGATAACAAATATCTGTCGTGCTTAAGATTTAAAGATAATTTAAGAGTCCTTGCAAAAAAATTAGTTAAGCTAATGCATGTGCTTTATCTTCTTAATGAGAGTAAGTAGCAGTAGATATCCTAAAACATTAAAACCCACCAAGCTCCTTTCGGCTGTGTGGTATTTGGAGTGATCCTCCAGCTTTTTTGCAATGATAAATATTTGATTTTCCTTGCCTTTTAGGCTTCCCTATTCGAAGAGGGAGGTTCCTGTTGCCAGTGGTTCAGGGTTCATTGTCTCAGAAGATGGACTGATCGTGACAAACGCCCACGTCGTCACCAACAAAAACCGGGTGAAGGTGGAGCTGAAGAACGGGGAAACATATGAAGCTAAAATTAAAGATGTTGATGAAAAATCAGACATTGCACTAATTAAAATAGATGCTCAGGTGAGTCACTAAAACAAGACATGTTTTATTCCTCTGATTTTAGTACCATCCTTTCCAAAAACTGCTGCTGATTTTCGTGTCTGAAGGAAAAACAAGCAGTTTGCTGGGCTGGGTTTTATGGAGAATATTTGAGCAAGGTGGATACGCCTTTTTAAAGGCTGAGTTTGTGGGTGGTAGTGGTTAATTTTGTCACCTCTCAGTGTAGAGCAAGAAGCCAGCAGCACTTCTGTATGTATCCTCAAAATAAAAACTAGAAGCATAGTTTGCTGGCTGGTTTGCACGCACATTGTCTGATAAAACTCTCTCTCAGAGGAGAAATGGGGGTGTTCTTTTGTGCTTGGGAGAGGGATGTTTCAGTCTGTCTCAAGTGCCTGTACTGAAGTGACAAATTGCTTTTAGAGGATGCATTTTCCCTCTGAAAGGCTGCACCACACAGATATAGATCATGAAATGGAAAATATCCCGGGAAGCATCTTGCACGTGGAAATTGGAGCTGGCTTGGAAAGACGCTCTTACACTGCAAGTGGTTTTCTGAACAAATGAGAACGTAACTTCCCATCCATAGTCCTCCTCCATATCAGATGTGTGTCTGTCAGCATTATTCTGTCTCCTCTAACAGCAGGAAGGCTGTCATGAGGTTCTGCCGTGGAATGCAAGCGGAATATTGTGTCGAAATCCTGCGTAATGTAGATGCAATTAGATGCATGTGATTGCTTGGGGTGCTGCTCATATTGGTTTGCCTTGTTTGGCCTGTCAGTTAATGACCTCCAAACTTAACGGGCAAGAACGTTTCATTTGAAACACATGACTCAAAAATGTGTAGGTCTTGCAGTGTTGTTTTAGTTCAGACTTATTCCCCAGTGAGGCCAAAGTGTCTGTGCCAGAGTTCATGACTAAATCAGATGTCCAATGCAGACCTCTTGGATGACCCGAGATAAGAAGTGCTCCTGCTGCTCCCTTGCCACCTTTATCATTTAAAAGATTTTTCTTATTCTTATTTAAAATCTTCTTAACAGCAAACAGACAGGAAAATTTAACAATACCAATAAAGATTTTTGCCATGTTGATTTTCCCTCCGTTTTCCTGAGGTAACTTACATCAGTCGCTTATTTTCTCATTTTTATCTTAAAGTAAGCAAAAGCAGTAACAAAGCAAAGGGAAAAATCCCCAGGATGAGCACTGTCAGCATTAGGATGAGTAGGGATACATCAGGGAGTGAAGGGCACCTGGAAAAAGTGCTTTAAAACTGGAAGCAAAACATGGTGGAGAAAGCAGAGCAGAGAAAGGTGGTGAGAAGAGGATTTGGAGCAGCAGGAAGGTGAACTGCAGAGGAGACATGGGAGTTAGAGAGGAACCACTGAACTGATGTGACGGGTCATTTTGAGGACTTGGGAAGAGAGCTGCCATGGGACTGAATGTTATTTGATATCCTAAGGAAATGGCTCCAAAATTCCTTGGGAAACTGCTTGTAGGAAGGGAGAACCTGGAAGACTGGAAGCAGCTTGGAAAAGAGAGAATGCAGCCAGATGAGTTGCCTTCCTTAAGGCAGGAAACTTTTTCTGTTTTGGAGCTAAGCCAAACCAGCTATATTTATATTGATGGGGGTGGACAGGGAGGGATTGACTCACTAATATTCAGTTTTCTATGAGAAAAAGGGTTGGCTTTAATGAATCTTTGGGAAACATCTCTGTGCCTGGAGGCTGAGCTCCTGCAGAAGGAGGTGAGCAAGCCCCCGCTGTGTCCCTCACATAATGTCAGCTCAGCACATCCATCTGGGTATCAGGATATCAAATTTCACATCTCTGCTCTAAATCAGGTATAATATGGATTAAACTTGGGTCTGACACACCCCTGGCAAGTGTCCTATCAGTGGCACAACCCAGTACCTTTTGTGTTGTTGCCCCACTGACCTCTCCCATTGCAGCTCAGGATAATTTTGAGAAGACTTGGGAAAAACTTCTTGCATCACTTGTTTTTTTTGGTGGGATGGGAGGCCCAGATTTCCAGCTGGTTCTAGAGATGTGGCACTGGCAAATCCCAGTCCAAGGTGAGGCCTGAGGCACCTCTGTTCCCAAGGCAGATGTGAGATAGGCAGCATTAGAAACACAAAATTTTATGTGTTCACAAAAAAGTTAAAATGGAAAAGAAGTCAGCTGAGAAATTGGTTCTCAGACTGAGCTTTTATGGGACATTTTTACGTACCCATTCGAGTTCAGCATTTGAGCTTTCCTTTTTGTACCAAAATGCCTTGCAACCACTCAAATTCATAAAAGGCTTTTTAAAGTCACCGAGGTAATAATTTGTTGAAGTTGAAATGTATTTGATGGCTAAAGAAGTCAATGGGATGGTACAAATGACCCTTTAAAAATCTGGATACGACATGAAAACCATCCCTAGGAATTTTTCTGAAGCAAGAGGTGAAGTTCTTAATTTTGAATAAATTATTCAAAGGTGACATCAAAGCTGCAGAAGTTTGTTTGTGTTTTTTTTCCCTTCTCTTTCTGTGTGGCATGTTAAGGCAGGATCTGAAGGATGAGGAATGTCTCTGTGGTTAGAAACAGAGCTGGGCTTGAAGTATGGGATTAGGCTGTCAGCTGGTATTCCTAAAGCTGTTCAGATTTTGCAGCAGCCTGAATGCTGTTTCTGTTTAAGGTGTGAACATCTGGCCAAAGACATTACTAGAGCTAATTTGGCTTTGCTGAGTGCAATAGGAAATGAAAGAGGGTGGTAAAATCTGGGCACCAGTACGAATGAACTGTTTCCCTGATTAAATTCCTCTCTGTGGAAAAACACATTGCAGCTAGTGAGGAACAGAAACCTTGGAGTAGTTGTTCCAATCCTGAAATGTATTTGTTTTTACAGTCTATAAAAAGAGAGCAACTGTGTTTCTCGTGTCTGTAGTAACAGAGAGCAGTTTGCTGAAGTGTTGAAAGTAGGAAGTGAGGTTGGAGTCACTGTGGTCAACATGAATCCAATCTAACTATCCTTCCAAAGGCAATGAGGAGACCACAGTTCTAGAAAGAAACAGTGCAGTTGTAGACAATTTGGATATGAACATGCAAAATTTTTAAAACTTTCCTAGAAAAATTTGGATTTTTGGCAGCATATGCAGAGACTGGTGAAATAAATAATGTGTCCTGCGTGGCACGTGTGATGCTGCAGTGAGTGTGAAACCCATCAGAACTATTGCACAACACTCCAAAGCAAACAGATGCTTTGGAGCTGGCAGAGCTGGATTGTGGGATTCAACTCATGATGATTAACTGTCTTGTTAAATCAGAATGTGTGATGCAGCTGCTGAGAAAACCAAACACCAGGAGGAGGAGAGAAAATTTTGGGGTGGTTTAACAGACAACATCAGGGCTAATGGGGGGCAGAATCATAAAAGAGCCCTGTGCCCCCACCCAAATGAAAATGAAGCCAAAAGTAGTGAAAGGTGGAGGTGGCTTTTCCCTGGAGATCTTTTTTACCCCCAGAAATTGGACTCTGCCCGCAAAAATGATCTTTGTGGATGTGCCTCTGGTTTGGCAGTGGGTACTGAAGGGAGGAGCATGGTGAGTGCCTTTATTTTGAGGTGTTTCTTCTTCCTACGTGCTTAAAAACCAGCCATGAGGCACTTGTCACCAGCTCTGAAATCACACCTATGCCATGGAAGACGTGCCAGGTCCTGGAGGTTTTTGTTCCTCAGTGTGTCCAGTTACTGATTCTTTATCCCAGCCAGGATTTGGCATCCACGTGGTACAGCAGCAGTGGGTTTGTGATCCATCTCTAATTTGTGGTGGCATTTCAGCTTAAGGTTTTTCCTGCATCTTACCACTGAGCACTTAGTTTGACACTTTTAAATCAACACCACCTTCTGCCCTCATCCCTTCAGTGGTTTCATGAGGCAAAGAGTGTCTGTATCTTTGTGGTCAGAGGGGATTTGCTTTTTTTCCCCTCGTGTGTACAAACTGGAGGAAGCAGGAAAGCAAACTTTCCTGTTTGTGTATCAATATTTTAAGAGCCCACATTTTGTAAAAACAAGCTGCTTGGACACCAGATGTGAGTGGCTTTTCTAAAATGCTGTTAGACTTTGAAATCCGTCGCTGGATATTACGTGGCTTCCTCTTGAGAGCCTGAGGAAGCCCACATATTGCTTCCAGAAGACCCTAGAAATGAAATATCTTGTAAAAAACTTGGATGTTAACTCCTGTTTATTCATCAATTTAGACAGCAGTGGTTTCCTGCCATCTTAAGCTTCTAGTAGCTCTTGCTGTGGGGACAATGCACTGGTCCAGCTCCCCATGCAGCAAAATATTCACACAACTCCGGGTGGGTCTGCCACCATCAGCGTATTTTTAATGTATTTTTATTTTATTTTAGTTGGTTTTTTAATTGTAATTTTATTTTTATTATATTTTTAAAGCAAGAACAGCAATCCCTTGCCAGGTAATTGAAAACCTGGTGACATATCAAAACAACACTTCATCCTTTTCTTCTCTTTTTTTTTTCTGCAAGCTTCCCATGCTCTGTATTTAGATAAGGAGACTCAGTTTTGCTTTTCTAACTATAGATGAAATACTTTTGGAGGCTTGTAATGTACTCAGCTTGGATTTTTCGTTTTCTTTGGCATTTTGTCAAGCAGTTTCTAGATTTTAGATGATACTGTACATTTTTACATGTTCGTGGCCTGTGTTTTTATTTTGCCATGATGTATTCTGAAAGTTAAATAGTTTCATTAACCAGAACAGAAATGCGATTCCCAGAGTCACTTACAGCAGAATTAGTGTACCAAACCAGCATCTGTTCCTTTCCCACCTAAAAATAAAAAGCATGAAGGAAATCTGCTGCCATTTAACACAAAATGAACCCAGAGCACTTGTCTCCTCTTCATCCCTTTGTTGAACTGCAAACTGCTTCCTGCAAATTCCTGATCTTCCATCCACAAACGAATGGGATTACAGAACAGAGGAGGGATTTACTTGCTTTCTGTGCCAGCACAGAGACAAATTTGCTTGTTTCATGGATGAAAAAGCTCAAACCACAACGCCCGCTGGTTGTGGGTGTCTGTCTCTTGGTTTTACATTTCTCTGTGGCAGTGGCTGTGCCTGGTGGTGGTTTTGTGCTGCTTCTTCTTTTAGTTTCAGAGCTGGTTTGTCCAGGCTCCATTTACTGTGCTTGACTCAAGCTACGTTGCTAATACACATCAGGTGAACATCTGTACTCAGCACTGGTGAGGCACCTCGAACCCTGGGGTCAGTTTTGGGCTCCCCAAAGAAGGCATTGAGGGGCCTGGAGCATGTACAGGGAAGGGAACGGAGCTGGGGAAGGGGCTGGAGCACCAGGAGCAGCTGAGGGAGCTGGGGGGGCTCAGCCTGGAGAAAAGGAGGCTCAGGGGGGACCTTCTGGCTCTGCAACCCCCTGACAGGAGGGGGGAGCTGGGGGGGGTCGGGCTCTGCTCCCAGGGAACAAGGACAAGAGGAAACAGCCTCAAGTTGTTCCGGGGGAGGTTTAGATTGAATATTAGGAAAAATTCTTCATGGAAGGAATTGTTGAGCCCTGGCACTGCTGCCCAGGGCAGGGGTGCAGTCACCATTCCTGGAGGGATTTAGAAGTTGTGTGGATGTGGCCCTTGGGGTCATGGTTCAGTGGTGGCCTTGGCAGTGCTGGGGGAATTGTTCAATTTGTTATCTTAGAGGTCTTTTCCAAACTAAATGACTCTCTGTTTCTATGATTCTCTCTGGCTCCTGATGCTGATCTCTGCTTGCCCTGTTCTCTCAAGCCACAATAGCTGCACCTTATTGTTGGATGGAGCTGTTTCTTGTGCTGGTGTGCCTCTCTCCATCCCGTGGGAGTTGTGTTTATCCAGGGTTTGAGTCAAATCCATATATAAAAACGTCTGAAGCCCTCTGGGATGTGAAAGGCTTAAAATATTAACCCTAATTAATGGCTCCTTCTCCGGCTGGGTGTAAACAGTGAGTCATGTGCCACTTAGGGTTTTGCATGTTTAGTCCTATTTCTGTGTGCCTGCAGAATGGCTTCTTGCAGATTTGTTTTACTGAGCAAACATGGAGCCCAGCAGAGCCCCAGGGCTCCATCAGATGAAAAGTGGAGGGGTAGAAAAGATGTTACACGTTGCCCAAGGTCTTGCAGTGAGTCACTGGGAGAGCTGGGTTTGGGTGCTGGGTGTTCCTGGCTCCCTGCTGGTTGTGCTGCAAGGCACGCTCGTTTGCCTGGGGTTTTAATTAAATGCCGTGGCAAATCTACTCTTAACCAGGAGAATCACGAGCTGTAGTGAATTATGTCACCCTGACGACCATCAGACGTCGTGTAAAAATTGAAGAATGCCTGTTTATTAAGTGTAGTTATTAAAATCCCCAGACTCAGGCACTTTAACCTGGTTTACAAGGATTCCTTAACATCCTAGGGATGAACTTGCCAGTGGAAGGGTGTGAGTGCACAAGCAGGGTCTTCTGCTAAGGTTGTGGTTACAGCACTGCCACAAGTGCTTGCCTGGCATTTCCAGTGCTCCTGGTGGGGACTGCAAAAGGATGCTTTTCCCCCTCCATCACTTGATGCCCAGGTATTTTGATAGGTTTTATACTGATTTCACTTCAAAACCACGTCTACAATTCAAATAAATACTTGGGGTTTTTTTGTTTGTTTGTTTGTTTTGTTTGGTTTGGTTGATTTTTTTTTTTTGACAACGGAAAATTCAATTCTGAATGTAGCAATGCTATTTTTAAGCTATTTTTAAGCTACTTAAGAGAGAGACACCCCCAAATTTAAAGCCTTTACAGCACATATATTCATCATAACCAATTCTGCATGGCACTTTCTTGCAGAGGCAGTAATGAGTGTGCTCATGCAGTGCTGTTGGTGTGCTCTGCACCACACCATGGAACCACAAGGAGTAGAGGACAGGTTTTCCAAAGCTGTGTTTCATAATATGTGCAGAACAAGGCCATTTTTTTCAATTGATTTATGTTTCTAGCAGAGGAGAGGTTAGCCAAACTTTCCAGAAGGCATTTGAATCACATGGATGACCCGCAGCCAATCCATAGAGTGTTAGAGTTTGAACTGAAGCCTAGCTAGTATAGGCTTGAAAACTCAGCACAATTAGAAGTAATTGTATTAGTCAGAGATGGTTCCTGTATTTTCTTTCTGCTGCCAAATGCAGTTTTGGCTTTGTGACTGTTGTTGCAACTCAGGAACGTTGTATAAATCTTTTAACTTTGTATACAACCACTCTTTCTGCGAGTGAAAAATAAAAAGCATCCTGTTTTCTTTTGCTTGTCTATGTTTCATTTGCTGATAAACGTCCTCTTTCTCTACAAACTATCCCTTTTCAGAGCACTGGGATACAAACAAAAGCCACTTTTTGGTCTTGTGTTGTTTTTTATTTTCTTTTTTTTTTTTTTAAATAAGGAAAAGCAGTGCCAAAAAAAAAAAAAAAGATGCTCTTCTTGACCCAACGACATCTTGAAAACACGTGCTACGTAAGCTCGAGAGCATCTGGTGAGAGAAGGAAGAGCCAGGGTGCTCCCTGTGTCCAAACAATACCCATATGGGGCTGTTTGTGTTGCATATGCTGCGTGCTTCCCAGCACAGCTAATCGTGCTGGAGAGATCCCTCGGAGTCAGGGCTGTGGGCTGGGACCAGGAACTGCTTGGCAGTGTTGCCTTGGGATGTTGCTGCTTGTCTACCACACTGCAAACACGATGGGGAAACTGGGTAGAGCCCTTGAATCCTTCCCAGGATTAACCCACAGCCATTTTTGAGTCCATCTATGGCACCAATAGGGGTTGTTATATTATAATTAATAGGGCATTGCTGGTTGTGAAAACTTTCATATGAAAGATAATTAGAAATGGAGATGTTTTTCTCCTTTCTGTGTTGCCTGTTCTGTTGCTCTTCTAACTGATTCTGTTTAACAAGCAGTTGGTTTAATTATTTTCTTGCTGTCTGGAGACTGAAAGATAAGTTTCCACAGAGCATCTTACCCTGTCTGGGATTTGGCAATGAGTTTTATTGAAACAATCTGCCCATCCCAGTGAAATTTCACTGGTGGAATTGTAACAAAGCTGGATAAAGGATACACAAGACCAGTCTTGTCAAACATTGAAACCATAACTTCTGTATTTGCAGCGGCATATAGTGATAACTGATGCCATTATTTTCTACTTTCTACCTAGGGTATTTGAAAGAAGACTGTAGGTGAAAAATATAAAGTGATGGGCATTTAGGTTAGTTTAAATTAGTGGATATTTGTCCCTAAGGGTGAGTTACTGCTGGTAATGAAAGACCCCTAAAGAACTGTCTCTGAATTTCCAGTCTAAACTTGTAATATTTTCCCTTTTTTGCCAAAATTTAGAATTCTGAAGTGGGTCAAGCCTGGAGGAAAGCTGGGTTAAAGCTAACTTTGCCAGCAAAAGATGAAACCCATCAGACTTCTGTTGTTAATGGGAGTATCTTCAACAACATGATATTTAATATGTTCAGAGATAAGATATTGAAAGGAAACTATAATGGTATCCTCTACTGTCATAACAGAAAAATCACATTAAGTCTTTAAATTCTAGCATCTTCAGAGGAAGACATCAGGGTTTGTAGGAGGCATATGATTATTTAGAAGAGATATTTAGTAAGGTGAAACATTAGCTGGTGTCTTGTGAGAATACAAAATGCTTTTAACTGTACATATGCATGCTTGATACTCTTTGGCTGTTGCTTTCATGACTTTAGTGTTCACTCTCAAACAGTATTACTTTTACTTAAGCAGCTGTTGGCTAATTACTTCAAGAAGTGTTGGGAACAACTCATCTTGGTATCATCAGGTGTTTGCTGTGTAGAGCACAACACAAATATTCTTCTGGTCTTTAAATCATTTTTGATTTAACGGGTACCTGTTGTGGAAAAAGGTTTGCTCTGTTGTAAAGAGCCCATGGGGATGTTTCTGTACCAACCCACACAAAACACTCAAAGAAAACAGAACAAGCAAAATCCCTGAGGGATAAAAGCCTCTCTTTTTTCCTCTATGCTATGAATGTATTCATGTTTCCGTAGCGTTTGTCTGCCAGCGTAGCAGTGTCTTACACACTCCAATCTGTTTGTTTGTTTGCTTTGGTTTTGTTTGTAGGGTAAATTGCCAGTTCTTCTGCTCGGCCAGTCTGCAGATCTGAGGCCGGGAGAATTCGTGGTGGCCATTGGAAGCCCGTTCTCCCTTCAGAACACGGTGACCACGGGCATTGTCAGCACCACCCAGCGCGGGGGGAAGGAGCTGGGGCTCCGCAACTCCGACATGGACTACATCCAGACAGATGCCATCATCAACGTATGTCCTGCCCTGAGCATCAGCCCCCTCAGCTCTCAGATTTCTTGAATAGTTGCTTTGAAATTTTCACCCATGATACAGCTCTTAAGAGCCCTGAGCTCTGCTTTTATCCTCATAAATACGGACATCTGTGCCGCAGCAGCACTTGATTGTTGTTTGAAAATCCCCCAAGGAACCTCACCAAGTACAATATCTGCCTTCACTTCAAAACTCTTGCAGATTACGAGGGAGGAGGCAATATTCTCTGGCAAATAAATGTCTTTTCGAAATCCATCTTGTTTTCTGAAAGAGAAGCCAAGCTCAGTTTAAGGATTCAAGTTTGTTTCTGCATTAAGGCAAAAACAATAGTTTTTGTACTTCAAGTCTTGGCCTTGTAAGAAATCTTCTCTAACAGCTCCCAGAGCTGTCCTAAAATCTTCTAAGCTGCTAGTGTGGCACTATTAAAACAAAAGGAAAACCTTGTCTATCCTAACCTTTTCTGGCAAGAGAAGAAGAAATGAATCATTTGCAAAGCTCAGCTAAAATGGGTGATTTTAGGTGTAGTTAATGGGTTTGGCTGTTAGGACTCTTCTATTGCACCACAGAAATATCTCAAAAATTTCTTTTATGTTTTGCTTGCCACAAATTAAGAGCTAAACATTAAAATATGTTCTTGACTTATGTTTATTTTCAGTATGGGAACTCCGGAGGACCCCTAGTAAACCTGGTAAGAGTTTCTCCAAGTTTTCTTAGTGTCAAGCTTATTGCTTTTTAGTTTAAAAACAGAACAAAATACCCCGACCAACAAACAAGCCCCCCCACCAGATATGTGATTAAAAGCTTTCAATATCTGGCTGACTACACAAAATTCACATGGTTCTTGCAAATCACTTGTCTGTGTTTGTGTTGGCAAAAGGATTTCAATATTTAAGATGTTTACAGTTTGCATAGTTTCAAGCAAGTGTAATGTTTTTCTGCTCATGCCTTGCAGAAAGTAAAAAGCCCATTTTAAAGTGAGCCATTTGCCCTGTCTGTCCACCATGCAGCATTGGCAGCTCTTTTTTTTTTTTTTTTTTTTTTTTTTTTTTTTGCACAATTTGCACACTGAAACTCAGCTTAACGGTTCTGAGACGTGCCTTCCCCTTTATTTTGAATCACACCAGGGAGGCTGAAAAATTTTGTCAGGATATGAGGGTTTATTTGCTGATATTGTAGCACGTAGTCAGCTGGGGATGAGGCAAAGAGGGAACAACTGAAGCAGGTTGCAAAACCCAGCTGCTGTGTGAGAGCTCTCAGGTCTCTTGTGGGTACGTGGGCTTGAGCAGGGGGGAGACAGTGGTCCTCAGGAGGCATGGCAAAAATTGGAATTCAGGGCTACTCAGTTGCTGCCTTGGAGGAGATTTAGCAATTCTTTTGCACCCAGTTCGCAGCACAGTTTCAGTCCCAGCGAGCTCCACTTAAAAAAATTGTAGTTGGACAGTTTTTATCTGGGATGAATCAGGGAAGGAAGTTGCTGAGATTTCAGAAGTGTTCCAGTCATCAAGTGACAGCAGAGATGTTTTATCTGAAACTCTTGGAGTCACATTACCAAGAAAAGCTTTTGATTCTGATGAACTGTCATTTTGCTTTATAAATTATTATGCAATATTGGCTCAGAAGCAGTCAGTGCCATGCTTTGTGAGGTGCCTGCTGAAGTCAGCAGGTTCAGATTGGCTGCAGAACGTGCTGCTTGTCTGGTGCAAGCAGAAGAGCTGCCCAGTTATTATCTCTATTCTGCTTGTGGCAAGATGAATATCCACATCAGCTTTCCAGAATTTTCAAAGAGTGGTCTGTCTGTAGAGTCAAAAAATTAGACTTAAAGAAAGCATTTAGTAAATTGAAAACCAGCTACAGAGTGTGTTGTGTGAATTTGTCTTTGTGATTGCTTTGAAGAAATGATCTATTTCTCTTTGAGGTGTTTTACGTTGCTAATAATGATTTCTTGTTTCTCTAGGATGGTGAAGTCATTGGAATTAACACATTGAAAGTTACAGCAGGCATCTCATTTGCTATCCCATCAGATAAAATTAAAAAGTTCCTAACTGAGTCCCATGACAGACAAGCTAAAGGTACTGCACTTCACTGCTTTGAAAGAGGAAAACATGAAAATAACCTGGTCTAGTGGGTGGCATCACTTCCCATGGCAGAGGGTTGGAACTAGATGACCTTTAATGTCCCTACCAACACAAACCATTCTGTGATTCTATGAAAACAGTAATAAACCAGAAAGTCAACAAACTTTGAGGCTCCTTTGGTGAGAACAATTTATCCAAGACCTACTTTCTTTTTTTTTGCAGGAAAAGCTATAACCAAAAAGAAATACATTGGCATACGAATGATGTCTCTAACTCCCAGGTAAGTGACAGTGGTGGCTCCTCACCTTTCTGAAGTGTGGTCTCTGCATGCATTTGGATCAAGCCCATGATCTGCAGACACGACCTGGAGGTCTGAGCCAGCAGCACGTGGCTCTGTGCATGCTGGTGACAACTCATAGCCAGTTCTTGCCACCTTCTTCTCCTCTGCGTCTGCTACGTGGTCGAACTCTCCTCTAGGCTCTTATGTGAGCTAGTTCTTAAACAACTCCTGGCTTTTTCTTGTCCTTAATGCTTCAGAAGAGAATAGCTAGCAACTGTGAATTTGTCCTGGGGTTCCATCCCTGTTGTTGTATGTTTTCAAGAATTGCAGCAGCTACGTGCGTTTTCCCGTTCCTATAAAATTATTTTCCATTAAACATTTCACTTAATGTAAAATGAAGCTTTTGTGTGGACTTGCTTATTCATGCTCAGACTGTAAAGGACTCGTGAGCAGGTGATTCCATGTCCTGTAAAAACAAACAGAAGGTTTCCCTTTTGCAGGACCCACAGGTAGAACAAAGCATTGAAACACGAAGGGTTGGGGTTTTTTTCAGGTGTTCAGAGAGGGGATTCTGCCCCTCTACTGCACTCTGGTGAGACCCTACCTGGGGTTCTGCATCCAACTCTGGGGTCCCCAGCACAGGAAGGACACTGACTTGTTGGAATGAGTCCAGAGGAGGCCACAAAAATGATTAGAGGGATGGAGCAGCTCTGCTGGGAGGAAAGGCAGAGAGGATTTGGATTGTTCAGCCTGGGAGGGAGAAGGCTTCAAACTGACCTTATTGCAGCCTTCCAGGGCCTGAAGGGAGCCTGCAAGCAAGAGAGAGGGACTTTTTACAAGGGCCTGGAGTGACAGGAGAAGGGGGAATGTATTCAAACTGAAAGAGAATAGGTTTAGATTAGGTATTAGTAAAAAAATCTTTACTGTGAGGGTGGTGAGGCCCCTGCTTTCAGGTTGCCCTTAAAAGCTGTGACTGCCCGTTCTCTGAAAGTGTCCAAGGCCAGGTTGGACAGGGCTTGGAGCAACCTGGGATAGTGGAAGGTGTCCCTGACCATGGCAGAGGGTGGAACGAGATGAACTTTAGGGTCCCTTCCAACCCAGGCCATTCTGTGATTCCACGTTCTGCTGGTTCTAAAATAATGACTGAGTTTTGACATGTTTTAACTCTGATCCTCTGTATCTATTAAAGTGATTGCCATTACCAGAAATAGACATTAAAAAGATATGTGAATGCAAAAAGTGTAGTAATTCTTGAAATACACACCTAAGGGTTAAAATAAATGGTGAAGTGACTCATCAACACATGTAAAGCACCTCAGTTAGTAGATATTGACTTCAGTAAAAATGCCTGGTTTTTTTTTCCCCCCATCTTGACAAAATATTTTTGTTGCTGTTTCTTCATTTTCCAGCAAAGCTAGAGAGCTGAAGGATCGCCATAAAGACTTCCCTGATGTTGTCTCTGGGGCCTATGTTATTGAAGTAATTCCAGAAACACCAGCTGAAGCGTAGGTTGAAGCACTTTTTTCCTCAAAACCACTGCCACTGATTTAAGGGGGTAACAACGATGGAGACTGCTCCCTGCTTAACTGGCTTTCTTCATTGTGCTAAATTAACAAAGCTACGACCATCTGATAGCTATTAGGTTGTCTGCTGGAAGTGGGTTTGTGGTTTTAGTCTGGTCCCTGATGGGCAATACTGGGAGTGCATCAGGGTATTGCAGGGAAGCCTGTCAGCGTTCCCGGCCGACAGGGCGAGGATTCAGGGGGTGTGAAAACTCCTCTTTCATTTTTCTCAGCAGTTGCTTCCAAGGCATCTCCTGCACCAGTGCCAGTGCTGAATAAAGACTTTTGCTTGTGAATACTCCCTGCAGCCCTGCTGGTCACCCTGGCAGGAGAGCAGGGGAGGAGTTTTGGGTTCACCTTGGGGAGACGTGTCTGGCTCAGCCCAAGCACCTCAGTGTTGGCCAAACCCACCAGCTCCCCCGGCATGCCCCGGGGGTAAAATCCTCTCTTGACAGGAGACACTCTTCCATGTGAGGGCTTTGTCAGGAGTCACGTTACTGGGAAGAGCTTTTGGGTTTGGACAACTGATCTTTTTCTTCATATTGCTCAATATTTGCTTAGAAACAGAGCAGGTGATTGGTACTAAGCTTCACGAGGTGTCTGGCTGAAGCAGGGCAGCTGGTCTGTGGTCACTGGCACTGCTCTGGCTGGCTCTTGCTGGAGACACTTCCCTTTCAGGGTTTGCTTGATATGGAACCACTCAGCAATCCAGGGCAGGAAATGGGAAGCCTTATTCATTTTCTGAAACTAGTGATGACTTAGGAGAAGGGTAAATCTTTGTGGCAACAAAGAGGCTTATGTGGCACGAAAGGCACGTAGGCAGAAAGCTTGGGGCAGGCATCACTGCCTCTTAGGAAGACTAAGAAGGACGTTTGGATGATGTCTTTTCATTGCAGTTTGGGTGCCACTGTAAGGTAACTGGTGTTAGCTCTCTAGAGTGCTCTCTGAACTGTTTTGTAGGTGATTGTTGTTGTCAGGGCTGTTGGGGCACGATGCTGGTGTGTGTCTGTGATGTGAAATTAAACTGCAGCTAGGGTAGGAATGATGTGGCTGCTCCAGTGTGGGACTGGACTTGGTGCCTTGGCATGCAGATCCAGTTTGAAAGTGCAGAAAAGTCAGATAATTGCAGAGAGTGGGAGAAGGACTTTGAAGAGAGAGAAGAAATGTGAGGTAATGTAAACTTATAATGTGAAGGCAAACACAAATCAGGATGCTTCATCCAAAGAGTGGCCTGGCAAACAGAATGCAGCCCATATTGGCTCTGTCTTCCCTTGCTCCCAGTTTCCTTGTCAATGGGCTTCCCCGTTCTGCTGAACTCTCCAAGGCATGTGGTGTAGATGTGTGCTAGGGCATGGGAGCAGTTCTGCAGTGACCTGTCCTGGGCAAAGTCATGTGGAGAGGCTGTGTGAGAAATCAAGATACTCTGGAGTGGTTTCCTCCAAGAAAATGTTTTGAGCCATGCCTTTGGTAGGCGACCAGATTTGTTGCAAATACTGACCAAGGCATCCTGCTTGCAGGAGACACTCATTTGAGGCGCCTTCTGTGGGTGGAAGAGGCCAATGACTGCTCTGTGGTTTTGTGCAGGATTATGCTGAAGGGTTGAATCATGTCTGATCTGTCTTGGTTAATGTTTCCATAACTTGGAGCCAGACCGTTGTGCAAGACTGGGCAAGATGTTGTGGTCTGTGGCATCCCTCACCACCCGTTTCTTGGTCCTGACAGCAGCCTCAGCCAGCTCAGGGAGAGACACACAGCCCTGGGCAGGGGAGCCTTGTGGTGCCGGCTCTGCTTCTGCCCTGTCTTCCTTTGAGTCAGGAAGGTTCAGCTTTTGAGGTCAGCAGAAGGGACTCTGGGGACTACGGGCAGGCAGGTGAGAGGAAGGACACGTTTTGGTGACTGAGCTGTGTGTGTTATTCTGCTCAGGTTTCAAACACTAAGATGAGGTGTAGTGGCTGCCAGTAAGCTCTGCGTGGAGAGCAGCGTGGATCTGGGGCTGAAATTCCTCTTGTGTTAACACACGGTGCTACTCAGGTTGTTTTGCTGTGTAGTCAGGAGTAAAAGCTTGGGAAATTTCCCTTCTGAAAGGAGGTGCCTTGTTGCAATTGTTTTAGAAGGAAAGTGTGCCTCTATCTTTTCCACCAAATCAGCTTCTAAGATCCTTGTTGCAGAATTACTGCTTTTTTACAATAGGGAATTCCTTTGAAGACAGTGAAATATGGGATTCATCAAACTTGTACATCCATCAGATTCCGAGGTTTCTGAATTGTGTTGTAATCTTCACTGCTTCATAAATTCTGATTGCTTTTCACATGCCTGCTGTCGGGTGGGAAACGGGAAAAAAAAATCCAGCAATTTTTTTAAGTTTTATTTTTTTTTTAACAATATCGCAAAGACAATCATAAAGGCAATTGTAATAACACATTGCTGCTTTGTGTTTTCAGTGGTGGCCTGAAGGACAACGATGTGATCATAAGCATCAATGGACAGTCGATAAGCTCAGCCAGTGATGTCAGTGACATTATTAAAAAGGACAGTACGTTGCACATGGTCGTACGCAGGGGCAACGAAGATGTTATGTTAACAGTAGTCCCTGAAGAAATCGACCCCTAACCAGAAACATGAGCTGGATTTCATGTTTTCTTTTAACAGCAATGGACTGCTTGTATTCCCTCTGTGCTGGTACAGGACACGTTAGACTTCTGACCAACATTCTGCTTGTTCAGTGGATTAGTATTGGCCAACAGAGTAACTTCTAATAGGTTTAAGGTGCAAAATCAGTGTAATTTCACATACTCCAGATGATAATTTTTTTTTCCTTCTGTATTATGTATGCAATGTATTCTTTACTGGCTATTACATTCCCTGCTTAACAAATCGACGTTTGCTTCCCTGTGTTGAGTAGATTTACTGTTATTTCCGCTAAGACTTAAACAAAACCCACGCACACAATGTGTGTTGTGGCATTCAGGTATTTATAGGTTAGCTGTGTTTTAACTGGAAATGCCATTGTAAAGGAGTAGTCAGCTTAAAAGGAAACACAATTGGGAAACAAAGTTTGGTTTATAAACACAAAGAAATCCCAACCAAAATAACCTTTCGAGGATCCCGTGCAGGACTTTAATACTATGATATTTTCCTAGTGTTATTAAAAGAATTCAACAGTACTTCTTGTGAGTGACTCATTTTGCTTCCCCTTGTGGAGTGTTTTTCTTTGAATGGTACATCTGCCTGGAAGGATGTCCTGGTGGTCTCCTTTTAATCACCATAAACCAAATGACTTATTTTTCAGTATGTGCTTGTATTTGTGCCTTTGTGCATCTGCTCTTCTAAGCAAGGCTGGGTTGAATTTGTCATACTGCCTATGTCTTCCAGATGTTAATGCATTTTCCTTATTGTTTCAATTACAGCTTCAGCAGTGCCTGGAATCTGTTTGCCCAGTGTAGAAATTGCCATATTGTGGATCACAGATCCCATACCACTGTAGTTCAGATATGAGGATGTCTGTAACCAGTGTAGATCTGGGCTCAAGCTCTTTGAAACAGGCTGTCTTATTCACAGGCTGGAGTGCTGCTGCGTGCATGACAGGACCTGGTTTTAACTCTGAGATACTGGGCATTCCCCTTATTCAGACACTAATCTTTAGGCATAAGTTTAGGGATGCCCTTGAAGCTTGGGATGGTGAATAGGATTGTCTTACCATGAAGGAGAACAACCAGCTACATTTAATTACAGTGTAAGTATTCACTGGGTAAACAATAGGCTAAACAGCCTTTTCTTTCCCCTGTTGAAATATGTGTGTCAGAGAATAAATCCAAGGGCTATAGACTAGTTTTGGTGACTGTCATTCCTAAACAAGTTCTTCTTTTGGAAACTGCTTCTTAGTAAAACTGTTTAACTGGGTAGCTGGCGGTTTATGACTTTTAAAGAAAGGGCTGTATTCCACCCAATCACAGCAATAAATCCTCTGGACCTGGATTCCTGACAGTGCTCCTTCTCCTTCCAGCTGTATTTCAGTTCTGTTTCAGTTCATCCCAATTTGAGGAGCCTCTATATCCCCAGCTGCCAGCGCCTGCCCTTACTCACCCGGATCACGATAAATCCACACAGTGTATAACATTAATTAATTACACAGTGCACCTCTCAGTACAGTATTGACACTTGGCATGATGGAGCACCTCATTACCAATCTGCTCGTGCCATCACTGTGGTAAATCACACGTGTCTGAAAATCTGCCAAGACGTGATGGTGCCTGACAGTCTGCAATCCTCTCTGTCCTGAAAGGTGCACAGTAGAATGACCTTGAAGAAGTACTTGGTAGTATATTTGAGCTGCAGCTTCACCTTGCTGATGCTGATGAATGTTTCAGCTTCCTGCTGAAGTGATATTATGTTTTGTAGTCTATCCATGCCCTGTGTAGCACACAGTATGGTGACATACAGCCATCAGCAAAAAAGAGTTTAAAAATCACCTACCTCCTCTAATACTCCACCTAACCCAGCTAGCAACAATCAAGCTAAAGGCTCAAAGCCAGGAAACTGTGTTTAAAACAGAAGTTATTTTTCATCTGCCTTTTAATTTCAAAACAAGTGGTTGGTTGCACAACAGAGCTGATTGATTCTCTTTGATCCGGTTGCTTGTAGTTGTGGTCTCTTAGTATGCAAACTCATTAATTTTTTTGTGTGTGTGTGCATTAGGAAAGAGGCAAATGAAGTTCTGTAAATCGTTTTCCTGGGTGACAGGGTTTAGTGAAATATCTTACCAGATTTCTAGCCCGGAGCTCCACCTAGTGGGATGTGAGATGGTCTCTTATTGCAGCCAGTCATTTTCCATCACATATTTGAAAGTGGTTTTCTGATTTACTTCTTTCTTTCTTTCTTATTTATTAATTAATTAATTTCTGTGCAGCGGATATCCATAACCACATGAATATCCTGAAAAATGTTTAGGATTTACTTTCTAGTATCCAACCATGGAGCTACTCAGAGGGTTTCTTACAATCAAAATATTCTCTAAGTGATTTTTAAGTATTTAAAGTAAAATTACGGATTAGCAGAGTCATAGAAGCAAAGTTTTCCTTTAATAAAATTAATTACCGTTTATTTTTGATGTATTATTGGGTTGTAGGTCTGGAATGGTTTTCCTTCTTTTGTTGCTTCAGCACACAGTTCTTTTCAAATTCCAGTTGAAAATACTTCTTACAGAACAGCTTTGGCACAGTTTGTATAAATACCAGTTTCCTGGAAATCTTAGCAAGTGTTGGACGCTAAATCAGGGAAATTGGACATTCTGACTTGATTTTCAGTATTTTGGAATGTCTGAAATGGAAACTGGAGTCGCTGTGTGTGTGATGCTGATAGATGGCTACGTGTGGCTGCGCTCGGAGGTAGTTTTGAAACACTGGTTCACTTATTCCATAAGGGAAATGTCTTGAGCTGTAAAAGAAATGGTCATGACTAACAATTGTCTGGTTCCTGTGGCTTAGATGCCAAGCAGTAAGATCCTGTAATTTCAATACCAGGGGATTTTTTTTTATTCTCCCCCCCCACCTCTCCTTCCCCATAACTATTTTGTGTTCGTGTTTAGGAAGCTGAGGGTGTTTTTAAAACTATGTCTTTCCAAATTACAGTGAAAGAGACATCTAGTAGGGCATGATTAAATTATATATAGGTTTTTAATGTGTATCAGAAAAGTAGTGCAGAAGAGATTAAAACTGCAGCTGCAAATATCCAGGAGAAATAGAGGTGATCAAGAAGTCACCAATCCAGGGCAGTGAGTCCACTGAGTATTCATTGCATGTGGTGGTGGGTCACTATGAGAGTCCTGTTCATCCTCAGAGTGAGAGAAAAGAAATGTTCATTTGAGCTCCTGGGGTTCTCCTTGATTGAATTATATTTGAGATTATTCTCACTGTTCTTAAATGCCTGTATTGTTTCCCACTGTTTCTTCCTCCACCCAGAAAACACGGATGTGACTTGGCATCCTTTATTCAGTTTCCCTCTCCCTTTGCTCTAGCTCCCTCCCCATGAGTGCTGCTGGTGAGTGTCAGCAAAAGGAAACCAAAATCACGCCCCAGGCTGACTTTAAATCAGACTTTCAAGTTAAATGTCAGTGAGTTTTCAGGCTTCCTTCACACCAAGAGGCAGAAACAAGACAGGAAAACATCTCCACGAGACAGGAGGGAACCAGGCAGAGAAGTGATGAGTAAAGGTCTGCTTCATCCTGCTGTGCCCTCACCTTTAGGATGCAAACCTCGGCTCGGCAGCCTCCCATCCCAACCCCAAAATTGGACCAGCACCTGATGAAGTTATCTGGGGGTGAAGGCGTTGGTAGGACCACTCATAATGTGAAGGTTGTTATTGAAGATGTGTAGCAGAAAGCTTTGCTGATTTTATGCTGTGGGAACATGTGTGCTGTGTGTCTGTGCCTCCTGCACCCTGTGTCCAGCTGTGCTGTGCAGATGTCTGACACACTCCATCTATTTGTTCCCCTCAACCCTCAAGCCCCATTCTCTTGTGCAAGATGCTGGCTGGGAAGTCAAGGCTGGACACTCTTGTCCCAGGATTTCAGCCAGCTTAGCCTGTTTGCAGTGTTACCCTGTAAATAAGCACTAACTTGATTTGTTAAAGGTTATTTATTGCACAAAATCACTGTTAAAACCAGTGCATATGTAAATTGACTAATTGGACGGAGAAAGTGAGGAAAGAAACTACCAGAGCAGCTCATCAGATTAATCTGCCTACATCTGCTGGAAAGATTTCCTCTAGTTTACAGGGTTTTGTTTAGTAGTCATGGTACTGCAGCATCTGTCCCCTTAAACTTTCTGAGGAAGTGGGTAATAATTAGGAACTGATTAGAGTGAAAATGAGTCAGAGCTAAAGCATGGGAGTCAAATTTAATAAATGTGGTAAAGAATTAACTTTAGCAGCTTGGAAATACCACATAACATGCTGGAGAGGAAAAGTAAATATTTTTCCTGTTCATTTCTTCTCTGTTCAGTGTTTCTGCACAGAGCACAGTGATTTTCAGAAAGTTTGCCACGTGAACATCTGAAGGAGATGGACTGTGTTACAGCAGTGTAGTGCAATCTCCCTTTCCCCTCTGAAATGGAGCTAATGGTGTACATCACCACTCTGCAGAGGAAAATACATTTGTGGGGTGTTATTGATTGAGAAAGCTGTGATTTGGGCTGTACCCATGCAGCTGCTGTGGGGTTTGCTGTGTCTGCCTGGCCACTCCCCTTTCCCAAAGCCCCTGACAGCTGAGGGAGGATGGCTGATCCCACAGCTGCAATTCCACAAGAAAAACAGGTGTTTTAGAATAGAATCAGAATGGTTTGGGTTGGAAGGGACTTTACAGACCACGTAGTTCCATGCCTTGCTGTGGGCAGGACCTTCCACTAGACAAGGTTGCTCCAAGCCCCATCCAGCCTCACCTTGAACACTCCCAGGGATGGGGCATCCACAACTTCTCTGGGCAACCTGTTTCTAAGAACCTGTGGTCGGGTAAGTCCACGAGAGGGCGAATTGAAGCTACAAACTCCACACCATCCTCTGTGTCTGGATGTTGCACTGTGGCCATGGAGCACTTTGTGCTGGTGCTGTGTCCGGCAGTGCTGACCCCTCGCAGGAGGAGGGGGCTGCAGGGGGAAAAGTGAATGTTCCTGGAAGTCTGAACTCAAGTGTCTTTTCAGAAAGAAGAGCTGAAAGCTGCTCTCACAAAAGTTTATTCCAATCTTCCAAGAACTGGGCAGATCTGGCAAGGAAAGAGATTTTGTCTGCATCTCGGGTAAGTTCATGTGTCTGGCAAGGAAGGAGAGTTGACTGATTTGGAAAACTAGAAAGCTTTCCTATCTGTGACTGGTGTAAAGTCCTGTACAGCTTTGCAGTTGAAGGGAAAAACCCACAACCCATTAACCTGTAAATCAACCAGAAGCAGTCAAATACAACATAAAAGGAGCTCTAGCTGTCATTCTCTGCTGCAAAACAAACCTGTAATAAAACACACTTGTAATTAACGGGAGAATGAGAGTACATTTCCTCACACCTCAATCAACATTTGACTTGGAGGCTGGGATCCTGAAAGGAAACCTTCTTTTTGAACAGGAGTTGGCAGAAGAGTGCTGCATTTCACCAGTGTGGTTATTAGGAGATGAATATTTTAC